CCCCAAAACCCCAAAACCCCAAAACCCCAAAACCCCATATGTTACAAATGGCATTGAAATTCTTACATAAATAACTTCTTTATATCATTGACTTCGTTGACAAAATGCTCATGCTTTTGGTTAAGCTCATCTAGCTCAGAGTACTTTGGTTCTTCAGGTATATCATCAAGCCCACCCATAAGTCCATCTTCAAATCTATCCAGATCGGTCTTTTGCTTAACTATTTTCTGCTTCTTCGGGGGAATTTTAGGTTTAGGAACATTCTTAGCAAACTCGAGTGCTTTCTCTCGTTTAGATTTCTCTTTAGTAGGCTCCTTCTTTCTCTTAGGCGGGTTAGAGTTAGTTGCTTTGTTGGTAATTTTAACTTTTGAAGCAAATTGCCTCATTGCTTGAAGTTTACTGTTCTTCTTCTCCCATTCTTCAGTCCCAATGTTGGCTCCCAAACCTCCCATTCTGTAAAATTTTGGGTCATTCGGCTTTTCTTTGTACTCTTTAAGAGAATATGGTTTATAAGTGCTCTTTCTCTTGCTAGTATCTTTCTGGTTCTGATAGGCATATCCTGGTTCTTTGTTGTATCCAAAGTTTTCTTTATTATTCTCGCTTATATCATTTCCGTTCCTACACAAAAGGGGTTACTGGGAATAGTACCTGATTTCGTCGAAACAGTCCTCTAGTTCTTTAAGGTCTCCATTTCCTGGTAAAGGTTTGGCTTGAACCTTCTTGCGAAGAGTATCCTGGCCTGGGTCGTAGATCGGAGGAGGGATTTCACCAATTCCAGACTGATACTCAATCTGGGTGGGAGGCAGATTATGACTATACTGGTTGAGAATCGATTCTGAGTCACCTCTCTTCTTCTTTTTGGCTTTATTTTGTCAATTTTCTGGAACTTTCTGACGCACATCCTGAATTCTTTGGGCTGGTTGTTGGTAATTAGCTTCTGAATGATGACTGTAAAGCTCTTGAGGGACGCTCTGAGTGCCGAAAGCAGGAGCAGGAGTCATCTTGACATATCCTTTGTTTGTATTCATAGAATGATTGACTCCTGAAGAAGAAGCAGAATCATTTCGATGCAACCTCTCTCGTGAAGGGATTATGTTATTACTGACATTAGAGATATTGCTTCTTCTATCATGCTCGAAATTAGCCTTCTTTCGCTCATGAGGCTGAGAGAACTTTTCCCTTGTATTCTGCTGATGATAGTTGTAATTACTCATATTTATGTGAGCATGTTGTTCAACAGGCTCGGAAAGGGAAGGAAGAGGGTTCACAGAAGATTGGATTATCTGCTGATGACTTAAGCTATCTTCAGGAATAAATTGCTTAACCTTCTTCATTGCTGGTGGTCCTAGAGATGGTTTTGTAACTGGAATCGGTGCTGGGGAGAACTTTTTTGCCTTGGATGGAGTTCCATAAGTTTTATTTTTCCACAAATTGTTGACTATTTATTAGTTAACAAGACTCAAATTAAGGATAAAGCAAATTTATTTACCTATAACTCGACTGCTTTGGAGCTTTTTGAACTTGAGGAGCTCTATGCTTCCTTTTATTAATTTCGCTCTCTTTTGAAACTAACGGAGGTTTGGAAGGTATTTCCTGAACCTGATCATTTCCATCATCTATATCACCATTAAAGTCCAGAGCAATCATAATCATACCTCCAAATAAGAGCTTATGAGCGTTACTGTGCACAGTAACTTTACACTCATCTTGATCTTGCATTTTTAAATTCTTAATAATATTCAATTAAAATCAAATTTTAAGGGGTTTTGGGGTTTTGGGGTTTTGGGGTTTTGGGG